GCCTCCTACTATCCCCGCCCGGCAGGCGCCCCCACACCGCTCCAGCTGGCAACATTCGCGTCCTCCAGGCATACAAGGGAGCAGCCCTGAGGACAGGATGACACAGAGCAGGCCAGAAGTCACAAGGGCCACAGGATTCATGGTGGCTGAGCAGGCAGCCAGCTCAGGTAACTCTGCTGCTCATTTTGCCCCGACAGCACTGGAAGCCATGCCTGAGGATGCAGCACTGCAGACACGCTCCTGCAACGCACCCTGGGCCAGCTCTGCACCCACAGCCCCAGCTGTGGGGCCAGCCCAGCACGAAGCCCAGGCAGCCTCACCTCCTGTGAACCTCCTCCAGCTCTTTGTCCTTCTCCCGCACTACCCTGTCCAGCTCCAGGCGCTGCCGGGCTCTCATCTCCACCATCTCTGCCTTTAGCCGCTTGTTCTCCTCCTCTGTCCGCACCAGCCTGTCAGCAAACTCCTGCCGGATCACTTCTGCCAGGCTGCTCCGCTCCTGGGCCAGCTGGTCCCTCATCTGCAGCAGGGCAGAGAGGTGACATCAAGGCGCTGACAGGCACAGGGCGATGCAGGGGGACGGAGCCAGGCAGGGCATGGAGCAGGGAAAGGAGCCAAAGCCCCAAGCTCTGCTCCTCACCCACCTTCCGGATCTCCTCCGCCTCCTGCTCCTTGTGCTTCAGCAGGCCCTGCAGACGAATGCTCTCCCCTTCCAGCTCTGCCAGCCGCCCCTTCAGCTCGTTGCAGCGCTCCTGCAGCTTCCGCTCAGACCTCTCCAGCTCCTGGAGCTCTACCTCGTACTTGTCTCGGATCCTCTTAATCCTAGTGGGAGGAAAGGACAGGCAGCCTGGCTCAGCCCGGCGCTGCGGGGACCACCCCCAGCCACCTTCGTGCTGCAGGAGGGACCACAACACAGCAGCAAAGGGGACGATCTGCCCCACGGGAGCTCCAGGGCTGTTTCCTCAAGTAAACTTTGCCCCTGCGAGCTGCTCCTTCCTGCACTAACGCCGCTCACACCCGCAAGCTACAGCGTCCAGAGCTCGCCAGAGAGGTGTGCAGGGCTCAGGGGAAGGGGACCAGCCCGTGAGGAGCTGGGACTCGCAGCCTCCCTCTTCCGTCTCCCCGCTACCTGTTCTCTGCTGCCCTCTCGCACTCCTCCTTGGCTGAGGACATGTCGGCCTCCAGGCGCTGGATCACCATCTCGATCTCTTTGTCTCTCTCCTTCCTCACCTCCTCCCGTAGCTCCCGCTCCCGGGAGAGCAGCCAGGCTTCCTGGGGACAGAGATGGCAAACGTTGTGGCGATCCCTCTCTGAGCCCGAGGGAGGCACCTTTGGAGAAGGCAGCCCTCGCCATTACCTCCTTCTTCACGTAGTTCGCCTCCCAGGCCTGCTTCTCTACCTCCAGCCGGTCCTTCAGCACCTTCACTTCTGCCTGCAGAGGAGACAACTGCTCAGCTCCAGCAGCTGCAGCACCCCACGCTGGCAGGGAGCAGCCCCCCAGCACCATCCCGGTGGGGGTACAGGGCTCAGGGGTGCCAGCACGTGCCACTGCGCCACGTGCTGGGGACTGGACTGCTCGCGCCCCAGAACAGCAATCCAGGGCCCAGAGGAGAGGGGAACACCAGACCTGATGCCGCCTCTCCTGCTCCTCCTTCTCCTTTGCGTACTCCTCCTTCAGTGCCCT